CTGGTGAATATAATAGAATCAGGGGCATAGAAAGGGAGTGGACTGATTATTCTCGGGGGGAAAGGGGTGTGGGGGGTGCGGGAATAGAATGGACAAAAATCGTGCACCTATGGAAGAGGACAGTGGTGGGGGAGTAAGGGCAGAGGGTGGGGTGGGAACCGGGTGGAGGGGAGGTATGGGGGTAAAAAAGAGGAACAACTGTAATAATCTGAACAGTAAAGATTTAATAAAAAAAAGAAAAAAAGAAAAGAACAAGCCATTCCCTTAAGTTCTGCCTATAGTAAAACCAGTATCTTTATCCCTCCCTTATGCAGGTGATTTTATTACACAAGGCCCCCTTATATCACATTCTGTTAGAAACTATGGTCATAGCCTTCTATATGTCATCTATGCCTATGGTTATCCTTAGTGATACAGTAGGCCACATTGCCTAATCTGGTTCTTCATCAGCAGTATTCTTGTTCAGTCTTTTTTTTTTTAATTGATTTTTTACAGAGAGGAAGGGAGAGAGATAGAGAGATAGAAACATCAATGAGAGAGAAACATCGATCAGCTGCCTCTTGCACATCTCCCACCGGGGATGTGCCTGCAACCCAGGCACATGCCCCTGACCGGAATCGAACCTGCGACCCTTCAGTCCGCAGGCTGACGCTCTATCCACTGAGCCAAACCGGTTTCGGCCTTGTTCAGTCTTGATTCTTTGCTCTTCCATATATAAAAACCAGCCTGTGGATTTCATGAATCCTGTCAGGATTTTAATCAGAATATCTACATATCAATTTGAAGAGAAGTGTTATCTTTATTATACTGAGCCTTTCTATCCATGAACACAGTATACTATTAAGTTCTTTTAAGTCTTTAAAGTTTTTATAATTCATGAAAAGCTTACTTGTCTCTTATTTACTGTATTTTTATTGCTATAGTAAACACATCTTTTAAAATCATGTTTTCTAATTTTGTGGCTGTCACACAGAAACAACTGATCTCTGTGTATTGATAATATATTCAACAACCTGGTGAAGTTCTCTCATTAACTCTAAAACTTTATCAAAAATTAATTTATATTTTTCTATGTAGACAGTATATCTGTTAATGACATCTTATTTTTTAATCCATAGACTTTTTAATTTTTTAAACAGGACTACATTAGTATCTCCAAGAGCAACACTGAACAGGAGTGGTGGCCCCAGACATCTCTTGTCTTGTTCCTAATCCTAAAGGGAAGACTTGAGTTCACCACTGAGTATAAAATATACTGTAGTTTTTCAAAGATATTCAGTATCTGAGTTAACTAAATTCTAAGTCTGCCATGAAGACTTATCACAAATAGATGCTGAGTTTTGTCAAAGGCTGTTTTTGCATTTTTGATCAAGTATTTATCTTCTTTAATCTGTTAATGTGTTTATTATACTTACTGATTTCTAATGTTATTCCAAACTTGCATTTCTTGCTCACAATAACCATTTCTATAGTTACTGAATTCAGTTTGCTCAGGATTTTGTTCAGTATTTTTGTATGTATATTCATAAGTGTGATGTCCTGTAATTTCTATTTTCTTATGAACTCCATGTCAAGCTTTATGAACAGAGTTAGGATATCCTCATAATGTAAGTTGATAAGTGCTGTCTCTTTGTCCCCAGAAGATTTTGTATACAACTAGAATTATCTATTCATGCTGCCTGTAAAGCAATCTAAGCCAAGTGGTGTGGTTTGATTTTGTCACAGGAATGTTTAACCGTTTGGCTGCTGACGTATTTTTTCGGACACATGCCAAAACTGCGGCACTAATTGCGCGGGTATGGGAAAAAATGTAAAACACTTTTTATACAATAAACTCACTTGTATTGCTTTGCAACAACAAAAATTTAAAAATGCCAATTGTTTACATAAATTTGTTTTAAATAAGAAGAGCGCGATAGCACTCCTTAGCAAACGGTTAAAAAAATCAATAATTAAATTTACTTAGTAGTTCTATGACTATTCCAAGTTTCCTTTGTCACATCACTTTTAAGTTGTATTTTTCTAGGGATTCTTCAGTTCATCTAAATTTTCAAATACACTTATCTCTTTAACAATGCATCATCTGAAGTTATGTCTTTTTTCATTTCTAATATTTATTTGTATCTTTTTTCCTTACTTAATTTCACCATGTTTATGTATGCTGTTTATTTTTTTTCCTCTCTAAATTCTTTTTATTTATTTATTTTTTTAAATATATTTCTTTATTGGTTTCAGAGAGGAAGGAAGAAGGAGAAAGAGATAGAAACATCAATGATGAGAGAGAATCATTGATTGGCTGCCTCCCGCACGCCCCTACTAGGGACTGAGCCCGCAACCCAGGCATGTGCCCTTGGCCAGAATCGAACCTGGGACCCTTCAGTCCGAAGGCCGACTGCTTTATCCACTCAGCCAAGCAGGCTAGGCTCCTCTCTAAATTCTTTGCTTCCCCCACTGCATTGTCTAATTAAGCTGCTTAGTTCATTAATTTTAAGCTTTTTTTTCTACTGTAGTCTTTTAAGACTTTAAATTTCCCTTTAGTGTTAGCCTACAACTTTTGTCTTATTATTTAGTTCTGGTTATTTTAATGTGATTTTTTTTCATTGCCTTAATGAGTTGTTGTGTTTTGAATTTCCAGATATATTGGAGGTTTTTTTAGTTATCCTATTGTCATTGATTTCTAGCTTTACTGCACTAGTGGTTAGAAAAAATACAAGTCCTTTGTTGAAGCTTGCTTTATGGCTTACTATATAGTCAATTTTCATAAATGTTCCTTGTATGCTTAATTTTTTTTCTCATTCTGTGTAATGTTCTATGTGTGTACTTTAGCTTTGTTAATTGATATTCCAACTTTTCATATTCATATAAGTAGTTTGCTGGATGTACCAATTACTGAGAGATGTGTATAAAGTCAGTGGTAGTGCATTTGGTAATTTCTGCTTGTGGTTCTATCAATTTCAAGACTGTTATCATTTTAAGACATTTTAAGACTATGTTATCAAGTACACAGAAGCTAAGGATTTTTTTTATCTTCTTGATGAAGAAAACCTTTTATCATTATATAATAAATCTTTACCTCTATGAATGCTTTTGGTCTTAAAGTCTCTTTTGCCTGATATTAATGTTACACTGGTTTTCTTTTGGTTAGAATCTGCTAGTTATAATTTATCTATTTGCTTACTTTCTTTTCTTTTTGGGCCAAACTGAGGACATATGCTGGGAGCAAGATCCTATTTGCTTACTCTCAATCTTTCTGTATTTAGATGTCCCTGATAAATAAGAGATCTGAATTTTAGGTTATTTTATCTCAATATAAGAATTACTATATTCTAACTAGTTAAATCCATATGCATTTTTATGGCTGTTTATACATTTAGATTTGTTATTACTAAATTATTTTATACTATTTGTCTTATTTTTTCTCTTCTTTATATCCTTCCTCCTGCCCCTACTTGCCTTTTTCTAGAATCAGTTTTCCTCCTTTTTCCACCCCTCCCTTATTGTTAAAGTTTAAATTTCTCTATCTATTCTTTTAGTTGTTATCTTAGATACTGCAGCAAGCACTCTTAACAAAACATAGGGTAAATCAGTATTTTTACCCTCTTCCAGGACAAAGACCTTACAATTTTCATGCCAATCACTCCCTCTACTTAAAATTTATGATTAACCAGTATTTTAGTTCTAGCTTGTCTTTAAAAAACCCCAAAACCTACAAATTAGACATAATTGTTTGAATGCCAATGACTGTTTCTACCCAATCTTCTTGTGGCCCAGTGGATCTATTTAGATTTCTAGTTTAGACCTTTCCTGGGCTGACCTGTCCTGTACTATATATAAGACCCCAGCTCTAACACTTCACACAAACTATTTAGTTTCCTTAGCTGAATACATGCTAACTCTAAAATAATCTATAAAACAGAAATCTAATTGCCTAATCATATTTTATGGTTCCATTTAAATACTTTCACATGGATCATTAAGAATCTTTGTTTCTAGTATCCTGAGATTTTATGTACCTCTTGTTTGTTATTAATGATCCATTAATTGGGGCTTGAAAGATCCCCTCCTCACCCCCCGCCCCCCCGTCTGATTTTCCTGCCAGATAATTACTGTACTTCCAAATCCTTTTTAAAATAATTGAATCTAGCCGAAACCGGTTTGGCTCAGAATCTAATTATAATTTCCATAAATATATCAATTTATTCATCAAGCAAATATTTACTGAACTCCAACTAATATAAGGTACAAAACAAATAATACATAGTTCCTACCCAAAAGAGATTCCAGTGTGATTTGGGGAAAATGCACAAAAACAGAAAATGATATGAGGAAAATGACAAGGAAAAACAGGGGAAATATACCTAACAGGGTTGGTTGGAAAAGGGCAAATAAGACTTTGTGAGGAAATAACAATCTTTCACTATTTGAAGATTTATGATGTCTTTATTCGTTCCTAGATACTTGGCAAAAATGTTCACACTCCCAAAAGATAGCATGCGATCATACTGTTAAAACAGATAGCTCTTTAACTTGGAGGAATTCTGTCTTCAAGAACTGGTCTGCAACCTTCTGCTATAAATTAAAAACACTTCAATTTGGCAACCAAATGAACATTTTTAGGAACTACCTACCTAAGTTAAAACTAGGTCAGAAGAAGTCAAAAGTTCCTCTAAACTTATCCACGCTTACATGCTTATTGAAATACACCATTTGTGTAAAACCTCCTGTCTTAGAAATTTTTACCAAGTATAATTTACTATGTCAAAGATTGGCAGACACACTAAGGCAGAGTTCTCAAGTCTCTGGATATTACTTTTCTTTTAAAACAACTAAGAGTTTGCCCAGCCAGCGTGGCTAAGTAGTTGAGCCTCGACCCATGAACCAGGAGGTCAGTGTTTGATTCCACGTCAGGGCACATGCCCAGGTTGTGGGCTCGATCCCCAGTAGGGGGCGTGCAGGAGGCAGCCAATCAATAATTCTCTCTCATCTTTGCTGTTTCTATCTCTCTCTCCTTCTCCCTTCCTCTCTGAAATCAATAAAAATGTATTTTAAAACAAAACAACTAAGAGTTTGAAAAAAAGAATTCCTGAGCTCTCTATCTATTATAACACTACAGGAGGGTGCCAGAGTTCTAGTAACATAAACAGAGGACTGAAAATGAGACAATTCAGCTGGGTACTCACTTGGACACATTGCCCACTACTATTGTTTTCTTTACAAAAAGTCGTGAAGTCTCATCTCCTGCAAGATCAGCATTCCGCTGCTCTGTTTTATGGGAGCCGGTAATACTAGAGGTGTCCTAAAAGAAATCATAATTTTCATTTTCAATTTGGACAATTTTCAATAGGCAGAAACTGTAAAATCATACAAGGTATGAATAGAATAAATTGCAATTTTTTAAATTATAAAATTCTTTGGCTTCGTGGCACCTCAGAGCATAAAAGAATAATTTTACTCTAATGTTTGCATTAGTTGAGGCAAAAAGTTTGTACACTATTATTTCCACGTGTGTGTGCTCAATGGGCATACACATATGCTTTGTCTATGCAAACAGGGCGTGGAAGGATACACAAGAAACTAATTACAATGATTACCTCTGGGAAATGGTAAAGGGGAAAGAGCTCAATGGAGTTTACTTTCTTTTCAACCTTCTATACTATCAAAACATTTTCGATGAGAAGTAATTTAAACATAATAGTTCAAGTTTAATTATGGAGACAGACTGCCAGGGTTTAAATCCTGGTTTTTCCATTTAGTAGATGTGTAATCTTGGGTAATTATTTAACTTCTGTCTCAGTTTCCTCACCTATAAAATAAGGATGATAATAGTTTTTACCTTACATGATTGCTTTGTACAATTCTTAGAAAAGTGCCTGAAACACAGTAAGTACTAAATATCTGTTACATAAACATGAGTATATATATTATATAAAAGATGATAAATTTCTAAATCCAATGATCAATACAACCTAAATTCTTTTTAATGATAAAAAGAAAAAATATACAGTATTTTCCCAGAAATAATACTGGAAAAGGCAAGTAAATCCAAACAGTAAGAGTTCTGATTTTTTAGTGGCATTATGATTGATTTTCTATTATTTTTTACTTTTCTGTAGTTTAAATTTTTCAGCAATGAATAGATGAATTTATAATAAGAACAATGTCCACTTTCATTTTTATAAAAAATAAATCAAATCCTTGATGTCTGAGTTTGTGAAAAGCAACCCTGAAATGTTTTCTATCATAGAACACCTAGATGAGAAAAACCATCAGTCGTATTTCCAAAGCCAAATATTGCCCTGGCTGGTGTGGCTCAGTTAGTAGGCATTGCCCCTGTACCAAAAGGTTGCTGGTTTGATTCCTGGCCAGGGCTGTTTCACTGTCACATCAATGTTTCTCTCTCTCTCCTTCTCCCTTTTTCTCTCTCAAAAAGTTTTTTTTTAATAAAAATTATTTTAAAAATAAATGAAGCCAAATATTATACCAACAAATTCAGAGTATCTTGAGATGGCAACTCCATAAACTGGCAGGATCAAAGAGCAATAAATGGTTTTCAATTCTATTTATCATTTGTCAAATTTCCTCCAGTTATCAAAGTATCTTAGAATATCAAGTATCACAGAGGAAAATGCTAAAGAATCACTGCTCTTGCAAATAAACATGACAGAGTGGAAAGACCTTAGGCAAGGTCACAGCATTGCCAGCTCCTCAAAATTTCTTTCATATCCATGTGAATGGCACTAGGAGTGATGCCATATGCAGGGGTACTGAATTTTAAAATCAGAAAGACATAGGTTTAGCCCTAGCTGGTTTGGCTCAGTGGATAGAGTGTCAGCCTGCAGATTAAAGGGTCCCAAATTCAATTCCAGTCATGGGCACATGCCTCGGTTGCAGGCTCAATCCCTAGCCCTGATGGGGGCATGTGCGGGAGGCAGCTTATTGATGTGTCTCTCCCCCTCCTTTCTACTTTCTCTGAAAATCAATGGAAAAATGCCCTTGGGTGAGGAGTAACAAAAACAACAACAAAAAGGAAAGACATAGGTTTAGCTCTCAGTTCTGATACTTGTGGACACATATAACTTGAATCTCATTGAGACTCAGTTTCCCCATCTCTAAAAGGAATATAATTAACTTATTTCCCAGGGTTCCTATAAAATAGGTTACATGAATTAAGATGTACATACTCTTAATAAATATAGTTCCCTTTTCCTTTGGTTCCCTCCCGTCCATCCAACTATACCCTTCCAGTATTTCGACTTGGTCTCTGTTCCATGTTGTTTGAGAGTCTTTCCTCTATATCCATATTGCTGTTATTGTCTTTGTCAGACAAGAAGTCATTGTGTTGAGATAAAGAATCACTTTCAGAATGATTGGCTGATGGAGTTTCTGATCTCTGATTGGCAGGAGATGATGACCTAGATGGTGATTCCAAAAATTTCTTGATAGCAGGATGATTAAACACCATTGTATCACACGTCTTTGATCCCTGCAAAAGTGAAAGCAATCAAAATAAACTTTAATCAAATTCATCAAAAGTAGGCAAAATTATCTACTTTAAGATCATGCTTCAAATCTTTCAAAATCTCTCCAAACCCATAAAATAAAGTCCTAATTCCTTAACATGGTCTGAACCACCAAAACAAGAAAGTGATAAGTAACTATGCAAAGATCCTAACACCAAAGGCTAAAGATACAAGTCCTCTTTAGCCTTTAGTATTAGGTAAATGAAAAATAAAGGTAAATACATAGTAACATATGGAAAGCAAAATTGGACTTTAAAAAAAATATGTTTCAGTCAGAGCATTGTCCTGATAATGCCAAGGTTGCAGGTTTGATCCCCAGTCAGAGCACATACAAGAAGCAACCAATGAATGTAAAAAAATGGAACAACAAATTGATGTCTCTCTCTCTCTCTCATATCAATAAAAATTAAAAAAAATAAGTTTCACATCGCTTTACATAGCTAGAACAGCTCTGAATAAAACATTCCTGTAAGAAATATAAAAATATATGCATATGTTAAATAGTTCCCACGTAGGGGAAAAATGTAGTATACAATGCTTTAAAATTATTAATACTGACATAAACTTTGCCCTCAGTTCAGTACTGAAGCCTAGGGTATTTTTTCTGTATCTCATTAACCTGCATACAAAATACAGTGTGTTCTATTACCTAGTATGACACACTGTGCTACGTTCCTAGGAAGCCCAGCTTTTAAAACTTGTGCCATTCATACTGAAATATACAGATCTTGTAACATAGAAACCCACACATGAAAACTGTATGTTCATGTTGACCAATTTCACCCTATCAATTTAATAAATAAAATTAAAAACCAAAAAAACCTTGTGCTATTAAAATAATTGTTTTAGAAAGAAAAAGGAGCCAGATACTTGTTTCAGAATCAAAGCAAAAAAGCTGTTGAATTTCAATAATAAAAGTATCTTTTAGAGCTATAATATATTTTTTACAACAAACTAAAAATTATTATAACTAAATATCATTGAATATATCCTAGTCAGAATATAAGATAAAATTCATTACATTTCTGGACCACAAAATAGCACAACTCAAAACTGCTAATGATGAAAAAAGAAAGAAAAAAGGGAACAAAACATTAAATGAATAATCAGCTCTTCAGAATAGCTACAGTCCTACGTCATACAACCCTTAGATCATGATGTCCATTTTGTTGAATCCAACAGCAAGCCACATAACAAATGACATCAGAATCTACTCTGGGTTAAACAGTGTCTCAAAAAATTCATATCCACCCTAAACCTATGAATGTGACTTTATTTGGAAATAGGGTCTTTGCAGATGTAATCAAGTTCAGATGAAGTCATTTGGGTGAAGGTAGGCCCTAATCCAATTTAAAGTGCTTTTTTGAGGGAAATTTGGCCTGGCATGGGTGGCTCAGTTGTTTGATCGCCGTCCCATGCACCAAAAGGTCACTAGTTTGATTGCCGGCCAGAGAACATACCCGGGTTCTGGGCTCAATCCCCCGTAGGGGTGGTGCAGGAGGTAGCGGATCAATGTTTCTCTCTCACTTGGAAGTTTCTCTCTCCCCCTCCCTCTCTCACTAAAATCAACAAAAACGTATTTCTTTTTTTAAAAAAGGGGAAACTTGAACATAAGAGAAAGAGAAGATATGCAGAGGGAAAACATCCATGTGAAGACAGAGGCAGAAATGAGAGTGATGCAGCTACAAACCAAGAACACCAAGGATTGCCAGCAACCACTAGAAACTAGGACAAGGCTAGAAGATTCTTCCTAAGAGTCTTCAGAGAGAGCATCCGCCAGCCAACACCTGATTTTGGACGGCTGGGCTCCAGAATCATCACCTCCTGCTGTTTAAAGCCAACCAAGCTTGTGGTAATTTGTTATGATTTGTTAGCTGCAGAAAAGTGGTTCAGACTCTAAAGTTTTATGGAAACTCCTGCAATAGAAGAGACAACTGTCTACCACCTAAAATTAAATTCGAATAATACTCCAGATTTCTCTAAGACAACAACAGGAGTATCACCAATACGAGGCACCCTAAAGCTCCATGGGATGACATGAACGCCTAAATATGAAAAGTACCTCTTATCTATAAAAACCATAGGAAACGATGCAAAGCAGTATGCCATCATACCTCCCGCCATTCTCACAGAGCCAGTACTGTCCAAAAGAAGAATTACCTAACTCTAATTGAAAAAAATTTAAGAAAAAAAAAAATTTAAGAGTGAACAACAAAGTTATGCTGAAACTATCAAAATGTCAAACAATCTATCCTATTGCCTTCAATCCTATCCACATCCTTTAGAACTGGAGTGATCTAGTAGCAATCACAGTAACCAAATAATTACACTCTTATCACCAACAGCAAGACCACCTAATTATTATATCTCCTGAAGTGAAACAACATGAGGTATAAAGCATCACCTATGAAGCATTATTGCCAAAAAGATTTAACCTTAAAATAATCTAGTATTTAGACTTGACTTTCAGTTTACAAGAAAAATAGAGGGAATGAAGAAATAAACAAGGGAAAAAATAAATTAAAAATGTGGACCATTCTACAAGCTAAATGTCCTGGTCTCTTAAAATAAGTCAATATTCTGGGGGAAAAATAGGTGGGAGAACCAGTCTAGATAAAATTAATCTAGAGAAACAAAATAGCCAAATGTAGCTATGAACCTTGATTAGATCCTTGTTGTGTTTAAAAAAACAACCACCACCACAAACCAGCTTTAAAAAATATTTTGGGGACAACTAGGAAAATTTTTGAATATGGACTGGTTAACAGACAATAGTAGTGAATCATTCTCTTAGGTATTGTGATTACATAGAAGAATGGCCGTTAGGAAATATGTAATTAAATGTTTAGAGGTGAAGTGTCATGATGCCTGAAACTTATTTTCAAATGCTTCAGAGAAAAATAAAACAGATAAAATAAATATGGCAAAAATGTTAAAACTGTTCATTCTAAGTGATGCATTAAGAGGTGCTTATTTAACTTTCTCTGCATATTTGAAATTTTTCATAAAAAGTAAGGGGGGATGGAAATCAGGGCTTCCTGAACAGGGCAAATCTACTGAAACAAAAAAAATCCCATTCATTAGATAAAAAGTCAAAGAAAAAAAAAAAAATCAACCTACAACTTACTCCAAAGCCAACCATAATCAAATGAAGAGAAAGAAGGCAAGTTATTTTTGTATCTGCAAAGCCTAACAACACTGCTAAATATTAGTAGAAAAGGGATTAATTAAAAAGAAAAAAATGTTACTTAGGATTATTGACAACGTAGAGAGGTACGATTAAAGGACGAATAAAGGATTATGGGTGGACACAATAAGTTTACGTACATACCCAGGAAAGTAGGCTAGGCTTCTTGAATTCTAAAGGTCAATATAAGATATGTTTCAAAGGCAGGAATTCCACATCAACACTACTAATTTCCCCTTCACACAACCAATATGGGTGGCCAGAAATGACTGCATATGAGGAAAAGTTACCTCAGAAACTTTTAGAAGTCCTGCAGAAGCATAGTAGTTTGCGACAATGCAGGCACGAAGTTTATCCATCATCCTTCTTGCCTCAATCAGTCGCTAAAAACAAATGTCAACTCATTACTTTAAAAAATAGAAATGACAGGACGGATATATAAATAATTCATAAAATAAGAAATGCAAATGACCAACAAAAGCTCAACCTCTCTAAAAATCAAAGACAAATAAAAATGACCATTTCCCACCAATCAGGTTGGCAAAAGACCTAAAAGAATGACAAAAACCAATGTTTTTGCAAGAGTATACAGACATATTAATATGTATATTTATGTGTACACATGCATTGTCATTGAAACATCCACAAAGATTTGAGCACAAGAGCAAAGAGGAATTATTTTGGGGATGAAATTTCAGGTAAATTTTTTTATCTTTTCCTGTAATTTCATTAATTAAAAAAAAGGGAGGGGGCATGTCTTTTTTCTAAAAATGAGAAAGCTCTTAAAAAAAAAAAAACAGCAAAGGGAAAAAACAAACTATGATTCTATCTCAAGAGATTTTTTTTCAAGTCATCATGTGTAGATTTTTTTCAATAGCTTTGTGTGCTTTTTTAATTTGTCATCATTATACCTGGTCAATGACTTCAATTTCATGTTCCTTATTCTTCATTTCAAGTGCAAATTGCTCCTTGATAATAGTCTCTATCTTCTGCACAGCAGCATCTCGAGCTACACAAAGAACATAAAATAATCCATGGTCTAATTAATCAGTGGTTGTCTTAAGTCAGCAAGCAAAAAAGAAACCCAGGAAAATAGTAACGCTGAAGTGGAGAAACCTAGTGGCCATCATCTTAACCAATGACGAAAAGTGAACATCACTAATACTGGGGCAAACTGACGTCTGTGTTTTCTGATAGGATGCATTGAGAAGACTGTATCACTCAGCCAAAAAGCTGAATCTAGTTACAGGAACAACAAACAAACCTAAACTAAAGGACATTCTACAAAATAACTGGCCTATATAATTCAAACATCACTATTTGAGGAGATTAAAAGAGACTAAAGAGATATGACAACTAAATGCACTGTGCGATCCTGGACTGGTTCCCAGAGAGGGAAAAATAGTTACTGTGGTTGAAAAGGGGCCACATGATAACCTGACAAGGTTAGGGAAGGCCTGCAGTATGGCCTTGCAAGCTCAGGGACTTAAAGTAACCACATCGGATGGTCTGAAATTAAAAAAATTTTAACTAAAAGCAGTTTATGGCAGGTAGTCATGTCCTGGACTAGAATCTTCCCTGACAAAAGTCAATGCATCTTCGATAACATTCCTTTGGAATGTCAGGGTAACTCCCCCTTTTTCCAGACCCCTCAGAGCACAATTAATGCACCAGGGCGGAGACCATAAAGCCTCTCATTATTTTATCATGTTAACTGTGGACTGTTAACTATCTTGTACCCACCTATGTAAAAGATATATGTGCCTATTATTTTACTTTTCACCCAAACCCAAAGGCTTCTCCACTTTGCTTTCTCCCATCTCCCTAGTCTATCACCAATGGATTTTATGTAACTTACTTGTCTTCTCTTTTTATTATAATGTATAAAATAAGGTGCAAAACTGCCATTCTCTGGAGCATTATGTCAATCTGTTGAGATTTTGCTCCCGAGCAACTGTTGACAGTTTGGCTCAAGTAAACTCACAAAACTTCTCTATAGGTTTGAATATTTCTTATGTTGACATTATAAAACACAATACTGGGCCAACTGGTACAACTTGAATAGGGACCACAGATTAGATAATGTACTGGATAAATGTTAAAATTTCCTGCTTTTGATAACTGTACTGTGGTTACATAAGAGAATGTCCTTAGGAGTGTTTACATGTGTCCAATTTATTTCCCAATGATTTAGAAAGAATGATGTGTGCAGATACCTGTGTGCATGTATACACATGCGTGTGTGTGTGTGTGTGTGTGTGTGTGCGCGCGCGCGCTCCCACTAGAGGTGAGGGAGAGTAATCAACCAAAGGAGGCAAAATGTAAACAACTGGTAATTAATCTTAATTTTAAAAATATGGGTAATTCTTGAAATTTTCTTGTTTGAAATTATATCAAAATAAAACTACCAAAATGTTAAAAAAAAAACAAAAACACATGAAGATTTTGAGAGAAATATTGAGTGACTTAGGAGAAATTAGTAAAGAATTAGCTAGAGCAGTAACAGGAGAGCAGTTTATAACAACACAAGAAGTTTCCTTCTGTAGAGAAGGATCTAGCAAGCAATTCATCAGTTTCTGACCACAACTACCCAAAGGAATGAGTAAAGAAAATTCAAAAGGAAAGAAAATGCCTCTGAAGGTGATACAATTTAGATGATGACTACTCAAAGTAATATGCAACTCAAAGAGTTAAAAATATCAGAATATAAAATGTGGCTTGATAATTTTTAAAAATAGAAGAGCCAAATAACCACTTGAACAACCTGGGATTCTGCAAAACAACCCTGAATTTGTAAGATGAAAAAAAAAAATCCCCATGCTTTGGAGTATATGAAAAATTAGAGAAAATTTGGACCCCGTGATTACCCATGTCACTTTCTCCCCATAAAATAAGCCATTAAATTGGCAATTTAAAACTAGTAATGATATAAACATTCTTACAGATGTCTGCATAAAGGCAAATGACCAATGTTTCTCATATTTGAGGTAAAGAATATTTTCTAGTATTACTGTATATATCCTTTATACAAACCTTGTGTTCAGAAACCAGCAGAGACTGAAAGTCTCCCTAGAGACAATGATCACTGTATGCTATTTTATTATAAGCTCCTCAAAAAGAAACTCTTCTAAATTATCTCTTTCATGGAATAAGTAAAAACAACAACAAACAAAATAAAATATAGGGAAAGGAAGCATCCTACCAAATCTACTTTGAGAAAATTCTGAAAAATATGATTGGGAATTAGGTAGGATATGAACATCAAGAGGAAGAATAGCAAATTGTGACTCAACAACAAAAAAGTATCCCTGCTCAGGCTCAGTGCTTGGGAATTTAAACTAGATTAAATTGAAATTATGACGTTTACTAAAACATTGTTTTCCCTATTCTCATTTTTATTTTTAAAAAGTTATGTTGCCCGGCTGGTGTGGTTCAGTGGTTGAGTGTCGACCTATGAACCAGGAGGTCACGGTTCAATTCCTGGTCAGGGCATATGCCCAGGTTGCAGGCTCGATCCCAAGTATGGGGTGTGCAGGAGGCAAGCAATTGATGATTCTCTCTCATCACTGATGTTTCTATCTCTCTCTCCCTCTCCCTCCCTCTCTGAAATCAATAAAAATATATTTTAAAAAAAGCTATGTCACGTGATACATTTGAGTTGCATGATACTTTCACATTTATTTTGTTTGTTTCTAAAAGGAAACAACATTTCCTTGTAAATAAAATTACTACTGAATGGGGGGGGGTGCAGTGAAATGTTTTCATTATTTGGAATTAGATTTGGTAATTTTTGCTCTACAAAGACTTTGGTGGAGTATACAGTATGACTTGACTGCACTTACAGAGACAGGAATTTACTTTACTACTTAAACTCTAGGGGTCTTCATCTTTGTTGGAGCTGCAACACCTTTTTATGACTTTGATGTCTTCTTTACTCAGCAATAAGTATTAACTTACATAGATTTATCATTTAAATGAACAATAATAAATTTCAATAGTAATTTATTTTGAAAACTCAAAATTTAGCTCCATTTTTAAAAATAGCTTAAAACATTCTGGGTAATTACAGACACTTAATTGATGATCTACTCTTCAACTTAGAACTACTAATTATATGATCTTGAGCAAGTAATTTAATGCTCTTGAGCCTGAACTACTATCCTCTATGTGCAGAGGTAAACTAGATCAATGTTTCCCAAATTTCCATCATTCATATACCACCTTCAAGATACCTACCAGATCTGAGAACCATGTGAAACATATAATTAAATAATGTTTTTAAATAATTTTAGCCTTATCCTTAGCAACAGTAGTCATGCAACTGCAAGTCTCATGAGACCACCATCGTTTTCTATAGATATTAAAATAATATATAACTATTAATATAAAAAAACCTGAATCCATGTACCACCTATAATCATCTCACATGACACCACACTGTAGTACACATAGCTTATATAAAACTTTATGATTACACCTAACATATAATAATGACTAAAACTTATAGCCTGTCTCATTACTGATGCTTCACAGTCTACCTGATTGTTCCTATCTTTTATGCCACACATGGTATATTATTATTAAACAGAGCACTTAGTTATCCCTCTCACAAGCCTCTTCAAATTATATACAACAGTGGAAATGCATTTCATTTTAGCATGTGCCAACAAAAAAACCCCACATAATTTCCTAAGGTAGCTGAATTTCTACCTGAATTCTCAATTGCTTTATGCCGCTTATTTGGAAGAGCCACAGATACATCCTCATAATCAGGGTCAGTTTCTTTAATTGTTCGCTTGATTCCAGACATGATGACATCCGTTCTTTACTGTGAAGGAATAATAAATTAATTCATTAATAACACAGCTGGGTACTAGTACTTATAAATATATGTGTACACACATACAAAGGAAATAAATACTGACACTTAAAAGTCAGTGTAAATACGTGCATATCCCTCTCAACCCCAAGACACAACTTCAAAAGTTTAATAAAAAAATCATCATGCTCATCATCATCTGTTACAAAGCATGGATTTCCTTCCAAGTGAAAATCCTTTAACAAGGCAGCACACTGTTCAGACTTTTTAAAGGGCCAGGCTTTCACAGAAGGACATCGCAAGGAAAAGGAAAGGAAAAAGGAAAAAAAAAACAGACTTGAATGAAAACATGGTAGGCCTACACATTACCTTGAAATTCATAATGCATCAAGCATATTACAAAATATGAGCAATATAGTTAGTCTCAATAAAAAAATTATTATATAAATCCTCTCTCTGGTACTTACACAATACCTACTACAGAACAGGTGCTCAATAAATATTGTTACTGATAGTTAATTATTACTCATAATAAGCTGTATAAACTTATAGTAAGGTCCAATAAATCTTCTAGATTGCATTGTCCTGATACATGAGCCACTACTCACACATGACTATTTAAAGTTAATTAAAATTAAATAAAATTTAGAATTCAGTTTTGTTCCACATTTCAATATTTCACATTTCAGAACTAGCTACATTTCACGTGCTCAATAGTCATCAGTAGCTAGTAGCTACTACTATAAGCAAAGACATAGAAGAATTATATCATTGCAAAAAGTTCTACTAGACACTTTTCCAAATTGTGTTTCACTGAGCATTTATTAACATTTCATAAGTCATTGTAGGATATGCTGTCCAGACCAGCACTATCCAAAACAAATATAACGTGTGCCACAAACAAATTTAGTATCTTCTACCAGCCTTATTTATTTATTTATTATTTGAGAGAGAGAGAGAGAGGGAGAGAGAAAGAGAGAGAGAGAAATTTGCTGTCCCACCCATTGATACATTCATTGGTTTATTCCTGTATGTGCCTTAACCAGGGATCAAACCCACAACTTTGATGCATCAGGATGATGCTCTAAACAACTGAGCAAACCAGCCAGGGCCTAGCAGCCACATTTAAAAGAGGGAAAATAATTTTAATAATGTATTTCATTCAACCAATATACCCAAAATATTATCATTCCAGTAATGTAATCAATGTAAACAAATTAGCAATAAGATAGTTTTTACATTCTTATCTTTGTACTAAGTCTTTAAAATCCAGTGTGTATTTTAAACTGAGAGCACATCTCGATTTAGAGTAGCCACATTTCAAAGGTTCAATAACCAACCATGGCTAGTGGCTCCTTATTGGGCAGCCAGTTTCTACTGACATACAAAAAAAGAAACTGCTCCAGGGTGGTTACATGAGTTGCCCCTTAGTATTAATCTATGACATAAAAAAAGACAAGAAGAGTTCTCTGATTTCCAAACCTCTGCTCTATCACTAACAGAGATTATGTACCTAACCAAAGACAAAAATACAATGAGTATTTATTGAGGTAATACAAAGTCTCAAAATAAAATTAATGAAGATGAAATGTTAACTCAAAAATATTTATTTTTTATTCACTCAAAGTTAACAGAAATAACAATTAAAATGTCTCTTGCCCGGCTGGGTGGCTCCGTTTGGAGCATGTCCAATACACCAAAAAAGTGGGTTCAATTCCTCGTCAGGGCACATACCTAGGTAGCAGGTTCAATACCGAGTGGGGGAGTGTACAGGAGGCAATGGATCAATGTTTCTTTCCCATCTCTCTCACCTCTCTCTCTCTTATCAATAAACATCCTCAGGTGAGAATTTTTAAAAAAATCTATTCTTTGAAAAAAAAGAAGTCTCTCAGCTCTTAGTTCAGTTCTTTCACCCATCCCAGAGACAGACTCACTTGATTCAGGTGTCAGACTCATGTACTGATATATGTATATGTAAATCCTGGATTTAAGAGAACATTTTCCCTATCACACTTATTCAAATAACATAAACTAGTCTGGATTTTTTAAAAAGATTGAAGACCAAAACCTTTTAATATTCTATATTTTGAAATAAACTCCAAGAGAAAAATAAGGAGGTCCTTGAAAAATTTGCTATGTACTATGTGAGGTATCTTCTCAATATAAAATTCTATGATCGCCCGGTTGGTGTGTCTCAGTGGTTGAGCCAGGAGACCAGGATTTGATTCCCAGTCAGGGTAAATGCCAGGGTTGTAGGCTCGATCCCCAGTAGGGGGCATACAGGAGGCAACTAATCAATGATTTAAAAAAATATATATTTTATTGATTTTTTTACAGAGAGGAAGGGAGAGAATAGAAAGTTAGAAACATCGATGAGAGAGAGAAACATCGATCAGCTGCCTCCTGCACACCTCCTGCTGGGATGTGCCAGCAACCAAGGTACATGCCCTTGACCGGAATCGAACCTGGGACCCTTCAGTCTGCAGGCCGACGCTCTATCCACTGAGCCAAACCGGTTAGGGCTAATCAATGATTCTTTCGCATCATTGATGTTTCTATCCCTCTCCCTTCCTCTCTGAAATCAATAAAAAAAATTATTTAAAATTCTATGATCTTTATGGCATTTGAATCTCATTAGAATCACTGGATTTTGTGCTCTCATTCAAGACAACTTTGCCCATCTGATTTAAAAAGGGGAATAGGGAGGAGCAGAAGAATCATTTTCCATCTGCTTCCATATAGACAAATGTTTCTAAGATGTTAATAATGGTTTTATAATTCTTTGGCCCTGTTTCTATAGTCTTCACTTCCCTCAAAATATTTTCCCCTTTGTTAACATGACAACCAGTGTTTCTTTATCAAATATTTGAATGAGAGAATCTGCAACCATTCTCCTCTATTAGCCAAAGAGACATTTAAAAAATATCTACAAAATCCAAAACAGAATGGGCAAACAAACTGTGGTATACCCAATGAACTCCTTATCCAAGCAACTAGGAATGAATTTCAAAATCATTATGGTAAGTAAAAGAGCCAGACATAAAAGAGTGCATAAAATGATTCCACTTATATGAAATTCTGAAGCAGACAAATTTATCTTTGGTGAATGAAATGAGAATAGTAGTGGAGTGCTGGTGGTGGAGACTGATTGGGAAGAGGAATAAGGATCATTCTGGGGTGATAGAAATATTTTATATCTTAATAATGAAGTGGGTTACACGGGTAATATGCAATCGTGAAAACTCATCCAACCATACACTTAAAAATCCGTGTATTTCAACTGTTTGTGTATTTCACTATACCTCAGTTTAGGACTATAAAAATATATATCTGATCATGTCATCCCTGCTTGAAATCTTCAATTGCTTCTCCTAACACTTAGAATAAAATCACTCTCTTTCACATGACCTACAAGATCATACATGAATTGGGTCCAGCCTTCCTCTCCATTCTTCATCATTAACATTCAGACATACTGGTTTTCTTTCTGTTCCCCAAATACACCTCAATCTTTCCTTAGGGTTTTTGGACTTAAGGTTCCTTCTCTCTGGAATGTTCTTCCCCTAGGTTAGTTTTACCAGATCCCAACTCAAATGTCCACCTTATCAGAGAAAGCCTTCCCAGATCATACCTTCCAATACAGCTCTCCCTATCTTTCCCCTACACAGTTCCTGTAAGGTCTCAATAAACTACTTAATGAATAAATTAATGGCTAACTAAAATACATGATAAAATATAAATATCCACAGGGACTATAACTACTAGTTTACACTAGCTTTCATCATGCTTTCCACAATACTATATTTACAAATCTATTTGTTTATATTGCTACAACTTCAAAAGCACTATGGCTAACTGTTTAAAATAAAGAGACGTGCAAAAATGTCTGGCCAGTGGTTGAGCATCAACCCATGAACCAGGAGGTCACAATTCGATTCCCGGTCAAGGTACATGTCTGGGTTGCAGGCTTGATCCCCAGTACGGGGTGTGCAAGAGGCAGCAGATCAATGATTCTCTCTCATCACTGATGCTTCTCCCTCTCTCTCCCCCTTCCTCTCTGAAATCAATACAAACATATTAAAACAAAAGAGATATGCAAAGTTATACACAGGCATGTGCAAACAAAAAGATAGCAGGCTTGGCAAGATTAATAACAGACAATAATTTAAGGCAAAGAAAATACTTAATAATGACTGCTACTATTAAAAGGCACAATCACAAAGATATATCATAACCTATACACCAAACAACATAGTGTCAAAATATACAAAATACAAAACAAAGCAGAAGTATAAGGAGGATTTAAGAAAATCACCATTATAATAGAATCTGAATACATCTCTCTCAGAAATTTAAAAGACCAAGATAACAACAGATAAATATACAGGTAATATAGATGTGATTAAGAAGCCAGATTTAACAGATACATACAACTATGAACGCAGCATGGAATAATCCATTTGAAATATTTATAAAACTTCATTAAAATTAAATCATATAAGAGAATATGAAGAAAGCCTCAATAATGTGAAAATGTTATATTCTCTGATCCTAATAAAATTAAATATGAAATTATTAACAAAAACTCACTATGATATGGAAAATATGATATTCTAAATAATTCATGACTCAAAGAGAAAATTAAAAGAACAGACTATTGAAAAGTTAACAATAATATAACTAAGCCTATGGAGATGTGGTCTAAAGGTATCCTCAGAGGAAAATGACAGACCTGTTTTTTCATTTGTGAATACAGATTACAATTCCTTTCCAGCACGGTATTAAAAGAATAGTACACCATAACTAGAAGGTATTACTGCAGCAATAAACAAAGTAGATCCAGAAGCAAGGTAATGTGTACTACACACATTTAATGTTGGACCTTTAAGAACACAATGCAACTGCCTGTTAGTAATCTAAATACATATGATCCATATCATGAATCATACAGGGGAAGGCAAAAGTAGGTTTACAGTTGTGATAAAAAGAATAAAAGCTTATTCTTTTATT